CCTCCCGGTGCCTGGCACTGCCCCGTGGGCCCTGGCCCAGGCAGGGCAGGCCTGCCCACCGCCTTTCCCCTGCCCTGCTTGGGACCCTCTTGTTCCCCCCGGGGCTCCTGGCACTGCCCATCGCTTCCCTGGTGCCTCGGGCCTGCGCTACCTCCTGCTTCTCTCCGGCCGTTAACCCAGTGGTGCTGCCCAAGCCGGGACCGCCTCGCACCCCCGCCCCTTCCCAATCTCGGTATCCGGGCTGCTCTGGATGTGCAGCAGGAGCTGCTGCTGGGCAGCCTTAGGTCTTAGGCAGTGCCCTGGGGCTCACCGAGCGCCCCCCAGCAGCCCCCTGAAGCGGTTGGTTGGTGAGGGGCAGGGTGCATTGTGGGATAGCCGTGGGAGGTGTCGTTGTGCCATGGGGAGCCGTACCTGTAGCAGCGCTGCTCGGGATCCGCACAGCCAGGCTTCCGGCTACGACATCTTCATCCACATTGCTGCCTGCCCCTTGGAAGCTGGGCTCTCTGTAGCATAGCTAGCGGTGCCACGACTGACTGTTTGAAATGTTGGTGTGGATGTGCAGTGCATTGCATATCGGCTATGAGATTAGATTTTTGTCTTTGTATGGCAGATGTCTCCAGTGTAGGCTGAGCCATAGACTCTAGTGCAGCTCTTAGCAGTTCTTATCTGGCTTCTCCTTTGGTAGCTTTTCATCTTCCCTTTTGTCGTAGTCTCTTGATGCTTCTGAAGATATTGTCCGTGGATTTCTCCCCATTTGTGTTATCTTTTTCTTTTAATTTAATGGTCATTGGGGAATCTTGGGCTTTAATTCAGTCTACACTTATGTCTAGAGTAGTATTTTGAAAGGTATCTGCTAAGACATATTAGCAAAACGTTCAAACACATATTTAAATCCTAGTCTAGACAAGGCCTTGGCTCTGCACTTTCATTCACGTTATCCTGTGTATTAGGAACGCTGCTTAATATGCCAAGCACCTCCCTTTTTCTTTTTCAAATCCCTCCTTAACTCTCATTTCTTCCAGGAATTCTTCCTGCTTTTATTTGCTGAACAGTAATCCCTCTGCAGCACTGTAAGAATTTTTGTGCCTTGCATTTTTCTTGTGTGTAATGGTTAGTTCACTTTAAGATTTCTGAGGTAGCTTTTTGAAGGCTGACTGAACTGAATAAACTTAAATCATTATAACCACACTGTTCAATAGTCTAGATGAAGTAACAGAAAAATCCTCACCCATAAAAGGTACTAATCCACAAAATGCACAAGCCAGAACTTAGAGTAATTGAAAGTGAACTTGATGTTCGAGCTTACCTTGTATTTCAGGTGTTCTGGCACAAAATCCCTTAACAGTTAATGCTGTTGCAGGGTAAGCAATTGTCTCTGCAGAAGAGTTGCTTATTAGGATGAACACAAGTCTTCAGGGGTGGTGTAATCTTCAGTACAGAGTTTCCTAACAGATTTTATTAGTTTGTATCATTGACAGTTTTAACTAATTCTGGCTTAAATGCTGATACATACGTTTCTGGTTTTACTTTGACGCCTCTTAGAAAGAACCACTCACCAAGCCCTTCTGCAGCACTCTGAATCCTTTCAGTGTTGCTAAATTAATGTTTTGCAAAATTCCTTGCAGAATCTTGTTCTGTGGCTGTTGCTTTATGGGTACTGTGAGTCTTCCATACTATTCTGGATATATTTTAATAAATGCTCTTAATAATACTTCTGTTTCTTCTGGCTAGCGTGCGTTGGCTGTATGAGAGAGCAGCCATGGGATTCTTAGCTAGATGTTAAAAATGAGACCCCAGTCCTAGTTCTTCAGTTGCCTGCACACAAGAATGAGAGAGGCAGAAGTGGAGGGTCAGTCTTTCATCTCTTTTTTTACAGATCTCTCCACTGAAAATACACAACTGTAAAGAATGTTAAGATTGTAGGGTTAGGTCAGGAATTACTGATGTAAAGCTGTATGAAGAATTCAGATTGCATCGTCATTTGGATTTGCGATGTTAGTCTTTTAAGTATTACAACAAATTCTAGATACTTACTTTTAGACTTTTTAATACTAAACGATGCATTTCAGAAAGCAGATGAACACTGTATCCCTCTGTAGCTTATTTTGGATTTTAAGAAGCCAACAGCAAGTATATTTTTGAGCACTTTAACATTTCTCTTACCACTTTGCCATCTTTTTAAAGGAAAAAAAGAAAACCTTAAAAATGCTGGAAGGAGGAACTGTACTGAAAAAATGTTTCCTTGTAGGGAATAGGGGAGATTCTGAAAAAGTGAATCAGACGTGTAAGGAGAAGCTGGTTTCAGCTTTCACTGCAGAATGGGCTGCTTCTTGGTGGTAATTGTGTACAAGTACAAATGCATCCTTTCTGTGGGCTGTTATCTTTCTGTGCTCAGTATTGTAATGAAGATGTCCTTAAAAAGGAAAGGCCATTGAGTGCAGCAGCTTTCAGTTAGTAGATGAAAGGAGAGGCAGTGATGGTAAAAAGAGACTTGCCTGATAAGTAGTCCGGCTGGCAGTTGATCAACTTTGAAACCGGTGGCTTTGAACACTCCCACAGATCTGAACTTGCTGTCTGGAATTCTTGACATCTTGTGTAGTTCCATGTTTCCTTTGTAACAAGAGATGTTATCGTATTACTAAAGATGCTTTAGCAGACCTGCTCGCTCCTAAAGCTAGAAAGTTTGTTTCTGTTCCTCTTTGTCTTTAAAGATTTCCTCAAAGTACCCAAATTGCTGATGAATTTTGTTTAAATGTACTGTGTACTTAGGACAGCTGAAGTTTGTAAATGTGAGCTGTGAGCTTAAGGATGAATTTTGGAATTCGGTTCCTTAGCCATTTACGTAGAAAGTAAAATCCAGCATAAAACTGCTTAGGAGCTCTACTGTTGTATTCGGGTGTCTAATCTGAGTGGAGTTCTGTGCAGTAATAATGAGCTTTTGTTTGCAGCAACACAAATACTTTTGTTGATACTGTATGACAGCTTATAATGTCTGAAACTCTCTTTTTACCCCTTTTTTTTCTTCCCCAGGCTTAACACAAGGCCAGTATTTGGAGGTGTAAGATCTCGCATTGGGGTCCAGCAAAATCTTCTAAACAGATCACCGCCAGCTGTTGGCTTCCAGCGGACGTTTGATGCCCGACAGAAGATAGGACTCACTGATGCCCGACACAAACTGGGGGTTAAAGATGCTCGTGAAAAACTGGTTCAAAAAGACGCTCGGTTCAAAATCAAAGGGAAGGTGCAGGATGCTCGAGAGATGTTGAATTCCCGTAAGCAGCAAAGTGTTGCTGCTGAAAAGGTGACCAAAGTGGTGGATGCCAGAGAGAAGATCAGCTTAAAAAGGAGCACTCCAGCTGCCATCAGTCCAACTATGGGGACAGTAAATCCAGCCATGAAAATCACCAAAACTATCCAAGTAGGTCAAGCAAGCCACCTGTGAGCCCCCCAGTTATTCTGCAGAAATCCAGTGGAAATGATATGTGAATATGTTCACCTGTTTACAGTAGCAGTGATGGTGATACAGTTCAGTCAAGCCTGTAGGGCAGGATTCAGAGCCTCTTGGGTGTCCTTGCAGCTGCTTGGGGCTTTTTGTTGAATCCTAGCCTTCATTTGAATTTTCATTTGAATTTTGGACCCAACAGAGACTGAAGTAGCTCTCCTGTCAGCATTGAAGTAGTTGTCTTGAGTGGTTAGGAGTCTCTTTCCCACCTAAATACAAACACAATGTATGTGTTTTTTGTCATTCTTACACTGCCTCTCTTTGCAAGTCTGATGTGGTGGATTGTCCTGTCTGAGTAACTGGTTTATCCTCGTGCTGGGTTAACAGTTTAGAATATACAGTTATATTTATGTCTTGAAGAAGTTCTAAAACAATGAGCTCTTCTCCTGCAGTTTCTCTGTTTCTATTTGTCTGGTTTTCAGGAAAGCCCTGGCTTTCAGGGAGTTGCCCAATTACGTGGCGCGTTCCTACTGAGGCTCAAGATTTATTCCAGTTGCCGTATAATCAGTTGATCACATGAACCTGCCAGTTTCCTTTGTCAGTTTTCTAATTTCACTTTGTGTGCTCAGTAACTTGATTCTTAGCCAACCTCTTTGAGAAACAACTACTGTGGGACTGTGTGTGTGTTAGGTGCAGTGGGTAGAGGCAGAAGAGAAGCTTCTAGACTCTCAGCATTGTTGTTTGGGGAGTGGTTTTGTTCCTCACCTCTACAAGTGCGTAGCTAAAGTTCCTAGCCTACCTCTTTTGTTTTCCTCCTCCCAAAGATCAGCAGTGTGCTTACGCGCAACCCAGAAGAATCTCCTGTTCTCATCAGTTTGAAAGCCTCGATGAGTCTGCTTTCTTGTTCAGCCACGGGTTTTGCTCAAGAGCATCAAGCCTATTTCTTCTGTAAATTAGCCTGGGAAATTTCACATTGCTCTGCAGGTTTACTGCCAGGCTGACCTGTGAAAGAGAGGGCTCTTGTGGCAGTAAGAAGGGCTAATTGCAGAGCAATAGAGCAGTCTGTTCAGTAGTCTTTAATCAGTGCAGTAGTTAATACTCCTGCTGTCCTTCTAAGCCAGGTCACCACCATCAGCCATTAGGAGCTGAACATTTTCTATGAGGTTTCTAGGAGTTAAAATAGTTTCCAGAGACTTAGTACAGCAGCAATTTGCTCTGACCTGATTTTTTTTGTGTGATTTGGTTTGACATACAGTGCTTTCTGTTTCTTAGATAACACATTGCAAGGAAAAAAATACTGTAGGATACAATGGTAGTTAAGACTGTAGATAAAACTGTGCATGAGCCATTTAAACTTTTTTTTTAAAGGATTTGTACCGAAGTTCCAAATTGCCCATGGCCCTCCTCTCTTCCAGTATATGGGAGCAGGGTCTAACTAAAGTATCTTTGTCTGAGATGCAGCGCACAGCTTTCATGGCCTGTACTGTGATCTTGCTTCTCCTAAAGGAAGGAAAAAAAGTCTTTGCAACCCAAAGAATTTCCGTAGGTCTGCTGGTGTTTCCATGGGGCACATACCTTTGTTTCTGAATTGAAACATGAGGGTGCTGTGGTGTAACTTACAGTCTAAAGAAAATGTAAATCTGAAGATTTTACCACCTGTATGGAGTATTTTTGTAAGAAGACCCATTCTTTTCTGTAGCGGACAGGTTCCTTCCCAAAAGGGCATTTTTTGAGAGACTTGCTGCTTTATTTCAGCTGTTGGTACAGCTACATTCCCTGCTGACTTCTGTTGTGATTTCCCTGTTTCACAGGGTAACAGACTGCAGGGTGTCAGCTACACCACCCCATGCATAATTTTATTCCACTGCAGCTTATTCCAGCTCTACAGTGAAGGGATAGTGTATACTTCCCCTTTGAAATGGACCTGGACTAAGTTGTGTTGTGTCCCAGCTTGTTGAGTTTGATGGAAATAGGTATCTTCAGTTCCCTTAAGCATGAAAGAAGAGAACCTTTCTTAGTGATTTACCATGTTCATGGCAGAAATGTAGATCTAGTCAGTGCTCACAGGGCTGGAGTTAAGTCCCCTTCCCACTGATCCTGGACTAAAACTAAAGTAATCTGAATCAGTTTCTTTGTGTGGCCTTAGGTTTTAATTTCTTCAGTTAAGTGTAGTTATCTCATACTGAGCATATTACAGGAAACAGATGTTATCTAACAGCATGTTGTGGTAATACATCTCAAGAGCAGGAGAGGGAGTCTCATTTGAGTGGTCTCAGGGTATCAACTAATGGCTCAAATCTTCTGAAATGGGAATCTGGTGGACTGTAGTGGTTTAATGGTTTGATTCTTTCCCTCTAACTGTAGCAGAAGGCTCCAGTTCCTGGGCACTCTCATCCAGCAGGAATGAGGATCAATGTGGTCAACAATCATACACACAAACAGGTGCGTGTCCACTGCGTGCTCTTTGTTTGTTACCTTTGAGAGTGAAGGAAAGTGTCCATAAACATTGGCAGGTGGATAGAAAACTTCAAGTAGGAAAGAAAAGAGGAGTGTTTGGAAGTTCTCTAACAGCTGAACTCCCAATTTTCTTGTGGTTAAGATACTTTCATGGCATTTGAGGCTTTCATTTAGTCTAATTGGTCTGGATTCCTTGTGTGTTACATGAATATAAAGTTGTTATTCCCAGGTTTTTTTTCTGTATGCGCTGATGTTTTTTTTTCTCTCCAGACTGTGACCTTTAGCTCTGATGTCTTTTTGTAAATTTCTCAGCGACACCACATCAGATCAAGTTACTGGTTGTTTTGATTCACCATCCTACCAGCCTCTTCAGAGATTGGATATGATTGTACATGGCCAGATGTTCTGCAGTGGGGTGGGAGAGGGTGTAACCTTCCTGTGAAATCCAGCTGTGGGTCCCTGCTGGAAACCTGATAGTGAATGATGTTAACTGGTGTTCTGATGTAGTGTCAAAGCTGCCTTATCAAGCAGACTTCGAGGAAAACCCTAGAATTTATGCTGTCTCTTCTGGGGTCAGTTTTAAAGGCCTTTGTCACAGCCCCCAGCCATTCAGCCACCTTGGGCACTTGCAGAGAGGAATTACACCTTTTTATTAGTTATTTTCTTTTGTGTGTGTGTATACATAAAGTATTACACAAAATATCAGAAAACTGACATTCACAATATCATATCCTGTTGGGTTTTTTTGCCTTGGTTATGGTAACTTTAGCTATTTATCAGAGTAACCTCTACACTGACCTGTTGCCTCCACCTACCCCAGATACTGTCACTTAAAGAAGTATCTTCATTATTCTGATCGCATCGCTACAAGCATTTCACTTTGTTCTATACTCAAGTCTGTTGTCCTGGTGGCTGGCATTTCCCCCAGTTCTTTTCTGCACAATCCTCCTTTGTTCTCCTATGGGGTTTTTTTGTTTGGGGTGCTTTGTTTTTTTTCCTTCGTAGCATTTCTGGAACAGAAAAAACTTTCTTGTTTTCCTGTAAACCAGAATCTTGCCGACTATGACAACCCACTTATTTTGTAAGCTCTCATTGCTAATCCATCCATTTTTCTTTACCTTTTTACTGAGTCAATGGGAAGCTGTTTTCAGTTGTGACTTATGTTCTGGACGGTGGTGCATGTGTATAGACTTTTTTCTTAACATTATTTAGAGTCGATGAAAAAGTATTTGCGTAGGGGTTAGCCTTTTTTTTGGTTTTTTTTAAAAGCAGGTCTATGGGTGTTAAGTTGAACTGGGAAATTAATTATTCATTCAGTAAACCTCCTAGTGCAGTGTTGTCTAGTGCCAGACGGGTATGTGCTGTGCTGAGGAAAGCAGGCTATTCAAAAGGAACGTTTGGTTCAGATGTATTTGGCAGGCATCTGCTTAACTAAAATAAAAGTTTAAAAAAATCCTATGCATAGGCTTCAACTCTGAAGGTAGCAGGGTGCTAAAAAGTAACAGCGAGGTTTTATTCCATTGATGTGGTTTCATCAGTCATGGTGAGGTCTAGGGAAATAGCCTTACTGTGGCATTTCTGGAAAAGAAGTTCAATAGTTCTTACACTGGCGTTTTGAAATGGACTTCTGTGCCTTCAGCTCTACATCCCCAAGCTGCAAGGACAGGAATAAAGTCCATTGTAGTCATGTTCATTACCTGAAGGAGGCTGAAGGCAGGGGAAAACTTATTATTTTGGAAATTATGTCTAGATTAAATGTACCTGCTTGTAAACTCTAACCTTGCTTCCCTTCAGGGTGTATATGACGTGGAGGACGATGATGAAAGTGTCTCTCCCCTTGCTAGCAAACAGATGAAAATCACCACTGCAAACAGTTTCCTGCACAACGCGGTAAGGGATTATCTGAACAGTCCCCACTACGCCATGCTCACATTGGGTGGACGCAGGCTGCAGCTTTACAGGGCTTATGTTTTTTTCAAGTATGTAAACTATGCTTTCTCCTCAAATGTTTGTTCTTCACCCCACCCTTCCCTCTGTGCCAATGCTTCTAGTGTTATTTTTGGGACAGAGTCCGTTTTAGGCGAACTTTTGCAGCCAGAATGTGTGCTTTCTCCCTTGCTGGCAGGCTGATGCACGTTAGCCCTTGACTTTCTTCTTGCTGGGGCAGTGCTTTGAACCTGTCTCATTATTGTATGAGCAGGCAAGCAAGGGAAGCTTTGTGCTGCTTCTGGAAGCTGGACATCAGAGCAGGAAATCTCTTGCCATGCAAAATCTTAGTTGGCAGCTTGTTGGGGAGTACTGATGCTCTGGAGAAGATGGAATTTCAACACAGACAAATGCGAGGTCCTGCTCGTGGGATGGGATAACTCTGCTGCTTAAGCTGAGAACTGAGTAGCTAAAGCAGCTCTGTAGGAACAAGCCTGGGGGTCCTGCTGGGTTATACAAGAATGAGTTAGCAGTGCATCCTTGCCACAGTGAAAGCCAACTGTAGATTATATATTAGCATGATCACAGTCAGCAGAGCAATGAAGATAATTATTCCCATCTGTTTGGCATTTTGAAAATGCACCTGGAGTACTGTGCCTACTTTTGGACTCTCTGATATGAGACACACACTGACAGACTGAAACTTGTACAGCAGAGTGGTCAGGGGTCTGCAGCCCATGCTGTGTGAGGAGAGAGTGGGAGAGTGGCACCGCTTAAGGCTGAGAAGAGAAGCCTGTAGTGAGACCTGTGCACTTTCACTTTCTAATACATGGTCATACAAAAGGCAAAGCCCAAGCCCTTTCAAGGAATGAAGAGGGAGAAGATGAACCAATGTGTTTTGCAGCAAAAGAAATTCTAGTTGGATTTGCGGGGCTGTTGTGCAGTTCTCAGGGTGTTGGTCAGCCTCTGGCACAGGGACTCGGGCTGTGAAATCACCATTCTCAGGTATTCAGAGTTTGACTGGATAAGGCCCTGAGTCAGCCTGATGTGTCTTTGGATCTAGCCCTGTTTCAGATACAGCAATTGGACATAGGTTTGCCCTAGATTATTCAGTGGCTCTGAGAAAGCAAATTCATGTTGTTTTGCTATCACGCAAGACAGACTTGTGGAATGATTATCTGCTGGTATTTTTCTCATGTCAGTATTCTAAATGGAGCTCCTTCCTTAAAAACAGCCTTATGGGTATGTGGATTTGGGTTTTTTTAGGTTGGTTGGTTGTTGGTTTGTCTTTTTTTTTTTCCCCAGGGGTAAATGTGTTATCTCCAGTGTTCACAGCAGCTACCAAGCACAACTTCTGGTCTGGCTTTTAACCCAGGTAGTTCCAACTAGAAAGGTTGTGCTCCATGTCTTTACGTGCCCTAGCTTGGTGTTCCTGAAGAAGTATTGCTGTTTGTACTACAGCAGCTCAGTCTTACTGTTAATGAGCAATCTTTGTGTACCCTTGGTAAAGTACTTGAAAATCTTTGGATCAAATGAGCTTTTCAAATTCAAATCACACTTACAAAGGCCATTCAAGAATATGAAAGTAGAAAGTGTTCATGATGAAGGACAAGCAGTGTTTAGTGCATGCTTGTAATGCTTTCCTGCTGTTGGTGCTTGAAAAAAAGGGATGACTCTTGTAGCCAGCAGCTCTCAGAGATGCTTTATTCTTTCTCCCTGTAGACTGGGCTGAGTGGCAATAAATTCTCTCTGTCCAAGACTGTTCCCCTGACTAAAGTGGTCCAGAATGATACATACACAGCTCCGCCTGCACCTCCCTCTCCTATGCGGACGAAGGCATTGACAAACATGTCCCGGACCTTAGTGACAAAGGAGGAGCCTCCGAAAGAACCAGCACCTGTTGAGGTGAGCTCAGGAAAGTGGGAGATGCTTTTTATAGAAGTCTGTGAAACATCTGAAACTTGCTGTTTATCGGTTGTGTGAGCAGCTCATTTCTGCCTGCCTTCCACCATCAAGCTTATTCTGGTAACTGCAACCCCTGTCTCAAGACTTTGAAACCTGTGTAAGCATCCTTTTCTCCAATGTTTCAATTATTGAGAGACTGGGAATTCACAGGTAGTGCATCGTGCTTCTCTCAACTTTTCTATCTAGCGCAGGAGCACATGGTCCTGGAGGAATCCGTGTTACAGGGAGCGACAGTTGTTGTTTGAACCCTCTTTGGTGGCTTCCCTGTCCCTAGGAATAGTGTTTTACCACTACTGTTATCTTTTGTCCACTCCTGTTAGCAAAGAGAAAAGCAGGATTCTTGCTGTCCTCGCAGCACCTCTCAGGCAATTTGTCTGGAATGGCTTTGGCATTCTGCCTGGTTTTGGGTACAGGTGTTCCCAGGCATGATGAGTTCAGTGTGCTTGTGAGGGGCTGAAGCCATGGTTTGGGGTTTGCTGCTGGTGCAGAGTGCAGCAGAAACACATGCTTAGAAGTTTGGGCATGACCAGAGAGTACTGTGTGTAGCAGATTGCGTTAGTATTATACTTGGGAATGAAAGAGAAGTTACTTCAAAGAGAAATGAGCATGGAAAAGAGGCTCCTTTTCACCATCAGGTGAGCTGGGCTTCTGTAAGCACTGATACTTCCTTCTCCTAGCTGTAGCTCTCTTGTATGTGTACAGACTTTCCCACACATCCTTTTAATGACTTTTTTAGTGCTTTTAATGCTGTGCTGTCTTGATTGCTGCGTTTGACCTTTTTGTGTGATGCATTTGTTTGTGTCGGCAGCTGGCGTTCAGTCCTTTGGAAGGCACCAAGATGACTGTAAACAATCTGCATCCTCGAGTCACAGAGGAAGACATTGTTGTGAGTGTTGCTTACTGCCAAACCGTGAATGAGTGAAGCCTCCTTCCCTTGTCCTGCCTCTTTTGATAGATCCCTTGATCCATGGTGAATGCATTGAAGAGGGATACGATGTGGGTTTGCTTTCCGTGCAAAAGCTTTGAGTTCCTGGGGGTTTTGAGATTTTCTTTTTCACTTCTTTTGAAAAGTGTGTGCTTAAGACAATGGGACAAAATCCCATTTCTAGGGTGAACTGAGGTACCTGACATCACTTAGAAGAGTTCATGCCAAGTGATGCTTGATGTTCTCCTTGAACTTATGCCGCCATCCAAATTATCTATGCACTTCCATTCTCAGCAGGCTGAGAATGAGCCTGGTCTTCTGCATAGAGTACTGGCCTTGAACTTCTGGCTTGCATTGGTTAGCCATGCATTTGCTAAGCAGGAGGGATGGTGCAGTTGGGGAACTCGGCCTTTCTCGGCGTCTTTAGCTGAAATGGTACCTCTGTGACCATGGCCATGACTTAACTCTCTGCCCTCAGGAGTTATTCTGTGTGTGCGGCGCTCTGAAGCGAGCCCGGCTGGTGCACCCTGGAGTGGCCGAGGTAGTATTTGTGAAGAAAGAAGATGCTATCACAGCATATAAGAAGTACAACAACAGGTGCTTAGATGGTAAGTTTGAGACCAGAGTTGCCTTTAGGATAGATAAATCAACAAAGGCTCTTCCACCTCAGCAGAGAGTTTAAAAGCATCTCTGATGCTCACATGCTACCAAGAGAGAGGGAACGTCAGAAAACAGTTTCAAGAGCTAGACAATGTAATATGCTTCTATGAAGCTACCTAAATATATATACAGCTTATTTAAGTGAAATTAAAACCAAACCAAACCAAAACACCAAAACAACAACAAAAACCCCCAAACACTTCCTAAAAAGCAAACAGTCAAAGCTAAAGGCAGGATCCTGGTGGTTCCACTGGTCTGACTTGCAGATTAAATTTATTTTCCAGTGCAAAGGGCTAAGTAGTCTTTAGGAAGCCTTTTCCTGCTTACGGAATAGCTGTTTGTTTTCAGAATAGCTGTCTGCAAAGTCTCAAGGCACAGTTGGAGACACTTTGAATCAGACCTGTAAAACAAGTGGTATCGGCTTCTCTGTAGGGTTTCAACAATGCAGTTGTTAATCTGGATCCACCTGCAGTGCTGTTATGGGCTGAAATGAGCTGTTAATTTTTAGCTGGAAATAGTCGCTTTTTCTTTCTCTACATGAGTGACATGTTAGTGTCAGATGAGCAGCAGACAGCTGAGGGATTGTCTCATGTCTCTGTTAAGGGTTTTTTACATATATGTAGTTTCTTAATTAGTGTGATTCTTCATATTGTACTGAGTGTTTCAGTGGCTTTTCTGTTGCTGTGATACTGCAACAAAAGATGCATCAGCTGTTCTTTCTCGTGTTTCCTCAGTATGTGCAACTCTGCTTGCACTGGTGTGTGGTATTTCTGAGGTCTTGCCTTACCATGATTCTAATATAAGGACTTTTTAATTGTGTTTTTATTTAGGTCAACCAATGAAATGCAATCTTCATATGAATGGGAATGTCATCACCTCAGATCAGCCTATATTGCTGTAAGTGTCCTTCAAGTAGTGGGAAGAACCAAACACATTTGCAGGTTCTGTTTTGAGGAGGACCTGAGAGGAGGGAAGGAAAACTGTTGGTAAATTTTTCCATGAACATTCTCCTTCTCCTTCCTCTCTGTGGAGCTCTGTGTTGACCTGAGGGCTTGACTCCTGAGTGTTCGCAGCCCTGAGGCTCAAAACAAGTTTGAGATGAGGAAGTTTTCTTGTATGGAAAGCATATCCCTAATACTGGGAAGGGGGCAATGCCAAGAACAGTAAACGGAGACATAATGCTGATCTTTTATTATGAAATAAAATTTAACTACCGCTTTTTTTTTATCCTCCAGCCGATTGAGTGATACCCCTTCAGTGAAGAAGGAAGGGGAGCCACGGCGATCAAGTGCAAGCGCCTCTTCAAATCCTCCAGCTGAGGTGGATCCTGACACTATCTTGAAGGCACTCTTCAAATCCTCAGGGGTCTCTGCCTCTGTGCAGCCCACAGAATTCAAAATTAAACTCTGAAAAGGAGAAGTGAGCAGTGGACTGGAAAATGCATTTAAGTTGGGGAATGAGAAAAGTTCAGGAGTGCAGATGTTATTTGCATTTGCCTGCCTTGAAATTTTTTGTTTTCTATGATCTCTACCTTACTGTACAGTAGTGTTTCCTCTTGTGTGTGTACTTTCTGTTTTCATAGTTGGAGTTTTCTTCCATGATTTTTTTTCCAAAAAAGTAACCTCCCCCTTCTGCCAGTAATGTATTACCAAGCATACACCATGTAACTCCCTCCTTTACTCCAAAGCCCCTAGTGGCCATTAAAAGTGCACATAGACTTTGAGGGGAGGAGTGGTGATCTCCTTCTCTTGTCTTCTGACCTTTAACTAAAAGGTGCATCCCCTTGATTATCAACAGGCAAGAACACCACTCTGTTTCCAAAATTGCTGTGCTGGGTACACAGGTGTGACTCCGTCCAGGAAGCACCGTCTTGCATCTTTGACTTGTATGCGTTTGGTAGCACACTGCTTTGTTCTGGGTGCTGGATGTTTTTCTGCTCAGTAGCTGTGACATTGAGAAGGGTGAAAACCTGAGCTTCCTGCTGTGTGCACCAGCCAGTGGAGTCATCAGGCAGAAGGGACCTGTGCACAAGTGCACCACCCACGGTGCTATGAGAGGGATGCTTCAACTCTCGTAATGCAGAAAGGTGAGAGGGGGAAAGGCTCTGGCATCTGTACAATGAATATATCAGCCCTGTATGGTTGGCCTCTGTTGCTCTCTCCTTCCTGGACTGAAGAACAAGAGCCAGTCTTGTGCTCAGAGCCAGAGGAAATCAAAGTGTTTCACTCCTACGAGACGGTATTGCATCCTGCTGATCATGCAGGGACACAAATGGTTTTTTCTTAACAATCTCCTATAAAAAAGGAAGGAGCTGGGGCCTCTTTCCAGATACAGATATATAAGAAGCAGTCTTGTGCCTGAGAACTCACTTCTTTGGAAGATGTCATTTGGACAATGTTTGGCTGCTGCGCAGATATGTTGCTTGTGTGCATGGATTTGAAGGATGGTTGCTGCACTCGATGGCTTCAGGGAGAGGTTTTGGAGAGGTGAGCAGTCAGCACTCCGTAAGGAGCACAGAGGAGCATTAAGCACATCCCATGCAGAGCAGCACAGATGTACACTGGGCCAGTGAGCACGTGTGATGAGCCACAGGCCACTAGGTGACACGTCCAGTACTTACTTCAGCGTTATTGCCATGGATAGTTGAAGTCCCAGTAGCTCCATTATTTGTATTTGTTCAAACTGTGTTTTAAGAGGGAAGCTAAGGGCTGCTTCCAGAGTCTGCTTGGGTTTGAACTTGATCCCTACAGCTAGGAGAGCAACCTAATCCATGCTGTTCAGCTCTGCTGAACTTCAATGGACACTCTGTAACTGTTTAAGGTCAACTTCGTTTCTTGATCAACCCCATGTTTCTTTTGCTCTCTTGTTCTGTATGAACTCTTTGCTCTGTCTGGCTGATGCGAACCATTCCTCTATCTCACTGTATCTATTTTAGCCATGGAAATAACTGAGAGTTTGGCAGGACTTGTTTGTCTGGAGTACTCTGGTTTGGAAACCAACACCACTGTTACTGGTAGGGTGCTTCATGTGAACAGCAGATATTTGCAGGGGAAGGGACCTAAGACAGCTCTTGTTCTCCTTTTTTAGATTGCCCATCAAACACTTGTGTTTTATTAAAAAAACATATGGGGGAGGGGGAGGAAACATTAGGGGTTGGGGAAGATAATGTATTATCTGTTTCTGAATAAACGTTTGTTATAGAGAGAGTGGATTCTAAGCCTTTTTAGATGCTGTGAAGCAACCAAAGCGAACTTGTTCCAACATTGACTCAAGCGTGCTTTTAGAATGTAGAAACTCCAAAACTGATGATGTAATGAAGAGCAAGAGGAGTACATGGGTGAGAGAATGAATACTCTTAAACCTTTTAATCTGGATCATCACAAGTAGTCGATTCTTGCTAGTAAGTGGGACCAATTGGTGTCACAAAAGCAAAAGAATGGCTGTTGTTATTGACAGCCTAGTAATATAAAAACTAATTCCGTTAAAAAAATAATAGAGCTCTGAAATCAGAGTACCTGTTGTAGGTGAAGTAGGGTACTTTCATTGTCAGCTGGGTAGTGGGTAGAAAGCTGTGAAAATGTGAAGACGTGTTGTGTGTATCTTGTCTCTTCTAAAAGAATGGGGAGATTTGAGGGGTTTTTAAAATTTATTAATAGTTGTGTCCATTCCAAAAGCCAAATAGCAAGGTGCACTTTGTAACTTAGTGTTAAATTGTGCATTGTGTTTATGTTGTTTGTGATAAATTATGGTGACACTAACAGACTTCCTTGGAAGAGCTACTGCTCTGTTCTCCTGCTCTGTGATCTATGGCAGTAATTTTTATTTTTTTTTTAAATAGGTCTGAACACCACTCCATGATCTGTCTTACAGCAACGTCTTGGCGTGCATTGCTTTTCCTCTTCTTAGCTCTTTAAAGTTACCTTAGTCTTTTAATACTTCATAGTGTGGCTTCTTTCGCAGGACACTGAAAGAAGAGCAGCCAGTTGTTCCTCGTCCTTTTCAAGCAGTTCACCTTGCAGCTCTCCAGTTTCTCCTGGCCGTTCTGCAGTTGTCATCCCAGTCTTGTTTCCATGCCACTGAGCTCACCTACCACCTTCTGACCTCACATCTGTGCACATTTGCCCTCATGCAGCATGGTTGTACTATTTAACTTTATTTTTTCTGGGCTGTTAGAGATTGTAAACTCCAATATGAAACACTGATTGCTTGCACCATGGCTGGTCAGGACAGGTGGTAGGTGATTTGTAATAGTGTTTCCCTTATTTTCCTTTGTTCAAAACACATGCTGACTTCTGAAGTGATACCACAGTTTGCGAGTTTGGTATGCTTTCATGGGGTTTGCATGTACAACTCCTTCTGATAACGTGCATTAACTGGGGTATTTGGTGAGTCAGTTATCCGTGTTGTTTCTTACTTTCACTGACCTTTTTTCACCTTGTAAATGTCTTGCTTCAATATCTTTATTTTGTAGTGGTCCTATCTTCCATTCATTCATAAATACAAGCTCCTCTGTAAAGGTCATATTTTTTAAATTATTATTTTCGTGATTAACAAGAGCCTTTAAAAACAGTTGTCTTTGAATGTTTCTAAGATTGATGTATTTGCCTCTCTAGGACTAAGCACGCTGGCCGCCACTCACACTGTTCAGGTCTTGATTTTCAGAACTGCAGGACTAAATGATGGCGTGTGGTAAGTTTTCTTACAGATGGGGAAGCCTTTTTGTTACACCCAAAAACCATCGGGCGGCGGCGGCTCCCTCGAGGCGGGCAGCGCCTAATAGGGA